TACACTGAGCATGCGAAGGCATCACAAAGTCACTATTATAGTATACATCCAAATCTTCCTAAGAATATTCCTTACATCAGTTCATGGAACTATAATAAATATCAGTCATCTATAATTACTCGTTTGAAGCTCAATCACGGCCGATTCCCTGCACATTTATGTAAAATTGGAATATTGGATTCTCCCTTTTGTCCATATTGCAATATAAACGCTGTAGCAGATATCAATCATTTATTTTTAGATTGTAATAAAAATGCTCAACATACCACCGTATTGTATCAAGATTTAAATAAACTTTCACTCCCACTTCCACTCAATATTTCTTCACTTTTAGTTCAATCAGATAAGATAATTTTTGACACTATTATTAAATTTACTCAAAATACTAAAATAGATATTTAACATAATATATACAAAAATTATTAAGTTAAAACTTTCTGTGGTAAATAGACTTGCATGTCTGATGCCATCCCATTACAAAAAAAAAAAAAAAAAAAAAAAAAAAAAAAAAAAAAAAAAAAAAAAGAAGATAAAGCCTATTGATACTGAAAAAAATATGAATATATGGGGGAATTAAGGGGGGTTAAAATATAAAAAAAAATCTTAACTGAAAAATGATATAAACTTGAAATGTTTAGCAAACATCAATCTCTAAAAGCAGATGAGGCCTATTGATTGTTAAAACAATCTGGTTGAAAATGGGGGTTAAGGGGGTCTGTTAAACTACGAAGAGTATCCTCTAGAATGCCAGGCATTATATATCTTTATTCTGTGTCTGTGTAATATGTATTGTGATGGGACTGATCTTATAAAATAAACATTTAAAACATTTTAGTTCTTATTTTATTTGCCAATAAAAGGTATTTAAAAAATATATTTTTTATTTGACATCTGTGACAAATTGTGAAAATGATTAAACTTACAATAAAAACTAAAAAATGGTAGGTAAAGTTTCATATAAAATTTTTTACACAAAAATCAATGTAAAGTTTCTACATTACCTGATATATATATATTTAAAAATAATCTCAAATTATGAGGAAAAGTCAGTTTACTAACTAATAATGTTTAGATTGTTTTCAACGTATTAAAAAAAAAAAACAAATATTACACTAACTAAAATATTCATTTATTAATAGTTATAATGCTTGAAAACAGTATGATGTTGATAATAATAATTACACTTAATACAAACTCAAATAATAAAAAAACAGTGATATTGACTCTTCTACAAGGTTTTGATCCGAACAAATGATAAAATTATTGGAAAAAGTGAACACCCATTTCAAATTACCACGAGCCGCCACTGAAATCACCTGTATGCACAAACAGTCCAACAAATTTTAAATTGAACAGATTTTACTTAGAATATATATTATGAAGAAACCACGGTTTCTAACTAAAATACTTGTTTTATAAAAAACATCTGGTTACGAAAAACCGTTAGGATTTTCCTTTAAGATGGTTACTTACGTAGTTCTATATGTGTATACTGCATATTGTTCCTAAATATAAACTAGACTATTACCACTAAAAAAATTCTGCTCATTTTGGCCGACATGTTTATTTGTTGCAAAAATGTATATTTGGATTGATATTGAGAGATGTTACCTGAAATAATGAGTGCTTTAAAATGTGCATAATCAGGACGAAGTGGCCAAAGCTTATTTGGCGCTAAAAATGACTAACTGATATGTATCCATATCGGGTGCAATAGTTTTTTTTTGCGCAAATGTCATTGGAAGAGTCTTACTTCACAATAAAGAAATTGTTGTGACTACCAAAAGCAGAGGATAAAAAAAGTTTTAATGATAGTGCATATTAGTGTATTAAGAGTGCATACCGGTGCAATTTTTTTTTTTTTGTAAAAAAATCATTGGGAAGGGGCCATTTTATGGTAAGGAAACAGCTATAACTACTAAAGGGAGGGGGTACAAAAAGTTTAATTGGTGGTGCATATGAGTACATGATAAGTACTAACTGGTGCATTACAGTAAATCTTAAAATTTTCACCGGGGGGGGGGGAAGGGCAGCGTTAAGTTGGCTCCCCCCCCACAAAGAGATGGCTGTAGTTTCTCAAAGAAGGTGGTGCAAAAAAAATATTTTTTTTTGTTTCATCGGCATCAACTGCTATGGTTATTAGCCTCGTGTTCTGTGTAGGCTTTGTTACTGTTTCCCAGCGCCACTTTAGGACAGCACTGTTAATTAGTACCCAACAGTGGTAAATATTAATGGCATCACTAGTGCATTATGGTGCAAAAGTTTTTTTTTTTTAAATATCATTGGGGTCAACTTCACGCACCTACGAAGTGACGCTAATTAATGACAGCACCGAGTGGCTTATCTGGACTGGCTCTAAACTATTAAATATCTTTCCAAATGCCACGCGAGTTTCATATTTTTTAGAACATTTTGTTTTCTTACAAATTATGCAACTTTTATTCTACAAAATCCTCCCGAAATGCCACTCGACCAACATTTCGTGGTATTTTATGAAGGATTTTGTTTCGTGAAATTTAGACGCATAATTTCCAAATAACAGAATGTTTTAAGAAAATTCCCACCTATCATGGTATTACCCTTGATTATTGAAGAAACCACATAATTAACTTATATAGTTTTTTTTTCCTTTTTTTGACTGAAATGGTTAATAATTTTTGTATTTCTGATAAATAAACAGCCATCCTAACTTCAAAATATGGTAGGCAATGTATTAGGAGCCAGCTTTTTTTCATAATTATTAATAATAATGGCATTAAAATCGAAGTGGCTTTCACACAGGTGATATTTGTTGAGATTCTCATGTCTCACCACTTAATATATCCATTTTATAAATATACTATCATCAGCGCTTAAAGACCAATGGTATCATTTACTTCCAATTTTTGTTGCGATTAAAAAATATCTGCCGATCTAAAATCCATTTGTGAGATTTATACACGACCTATATTTTCGAAAACATGGATGATTTGACACATTCAAAGCAACTTTTAATTTTTATAAAAAATCGCCAAAACCGGAGAAACGCAGATTTAATGTGGAGTTTAGATTCACTGGACCGTCGAATTTTCAAATAATCCGCAGATAAAAGGGTTTTTATTCTCTGTTTTATAACGAACACCCATATAAATAATTAAAATGGCAAACAATGAGAGTTCCCTCGTCGAGATCAGGCTGAATTTATTTATTTATTTACGTTTTTATGGTTTTAGTGGAAATTTTAGCGATACCATTTTCGTGTATAGATAATCAAAGAAAATTTATAACAGAATGTAAATTTTACTGCATTCGACTGCTAATAAACTACTGCAAATTCTCGGTGTAAATTAGAATTAAAAATTTTATACATATGTGTAATAGATGTGAAAATACTAAGGAAATATGCTATCCTGAATATGGCCGCCAACCGCGAATTTTTCTATATAATTTTTTCTCATCAGGTGTCTCAGAGAGATTATGTATTGTAGAATTTGGCTGTAGAGATGAATATTGCAGGTACACATTTCGAAATAAGAACAATAACGGGGTGGGTTGCTCAGTGGTAGAGTCTCTGCCTGTGGATCCAAGGGTCCCAGGTTCGAATCCCACCGTTGGCCGATATTTTTTTATTTAAAATTAATTCTGATGCATTGGTGGGATTCCCCACTCAACCATTCACTGTTGGGTTCTAATTAACAGTTATGTTCCTAAAGTGGCGCTGGGAAACAGTAACACAGCCTACACAGAACACGAGGCTAATGGTCGACGCCGATGACACCAAATTAAAAAAAAGAACAATAACATTTAACAATTAACATGCCTTGCATTAATTGGGTCAAAGTAAAAAATGACTACATCAGAAAATATTTGCATGCATAAAATCATCACTGTTCTAAAAGTGTTGTAAATACAATATAAAGGATGTTTTAATAAAAGCGCAAGATTTGAAACATGTTTTAGTAACAAAGTTTTTAAATATTTATTATATTATAATTTAGAAATTTGAAAATCATATATGAAACAATTCATCTAGTAAACCGTCGCCAATGATGTGTTGTCACATGCGTACTCTATTTTTTTAAATTGTTAATTAACTTGTTGCATATTATGAAGCAATATTTCGTTTATACAGTAAGAAATTTCGGCTTTCAATGTTTCGGTGGTTGCGGGCTGCATATTTGTAAGTAGCAGACGCAACATAAAATGGTGAAATGCCGAACTGCAATTTGTATGTAACAGACTTAGTACAACCAAAACTGCTAACACGTCTCCTACATACGCGTGATTGATTATAGCGCAAAACAAAGCACTGCTCTTAAATTATTTATTGTTTCGGCCTTTACTTGATGAAAATCCATTTTATCTTGAATGAGTAAAACCAAATTTGGTAGATTTTCACAAAACTTTTATTTAAAAAAAAAAAATTAAAAAATTTTAAAAACACTATACATTTGAAAAAGAAGTTGGAGATTATTTTATATTTTTTAGTGTATTGAGGTGTGTTTCTTGGGTTTTAAACTGTAATTTATATTATTTTTTCGGTTGATAAGTATATTTATATCTAAAAGCGTATAGTGAAAGGCTTAGCCATAAGGGCAGCGATGATTTAAAAATTCATCAGACTCGTACAAAGTAATAATTATTGATAGACACATAATTAATTAAACTGAGAACAGAAATTGATTTCTCACAAAAATGCAATGTTGCCATGTAAAATATGCAGGGTTATTGTTCTAAAACCTGAGATTGGCTATTTTGTTCTTATTTTTGCAGCGTTGCAAGTTGACTAAAATTATATTTTTTAAAGGCAACTACGCATTTTTTTGTGATAAATTGATTCCTTTTTTTAATTTTAAACCAAGAAATAAAATGTTTTTCAATAATGTTTTCCAGCGTTACCAATTTGGGTAGTGGGGCAACTTTTTTAAAATCGTTTATTTTTGTTAATATTATAAATTTTTAAAAGCAACATCGCATGATTTGTAGTAAACAATTCCGCTATTCTTCTTTTTTAGAAATGGATGGAAGACTACCAAAAAAATAGTAAAGAATCTTGGTCCATTTTAAAAACTATTAAAATAGCCTCTGATCGGCCGAGAAATCTATTTAAAAGGGTATATCACTGCCATTTTAAGACGAGTACACGCAAAGTTACAAAAGGAGTTCGAAATAAGCGATCTAAAAATATCAACTGCCCTGCACAATTGTTTATAACAATCCAACGATTTATTAAAAGCAATAAAGTATCAACTGTAGATCAAGAATATCCTTGTTTCGTCGAATTTCGTAATAAACACAATCATAGGCTGGACGTTGCTGAAGCGCTTCTCAGAAAGACCTGTAGGATCTGAAATAAAAGCAAAAATAATTGAATTATTCGAAAGGGGTCATTTAGTCTCGTCTGCTTACCATACCTATTGTTGTATGAAAATGGAAGAGTTAGGAGATAGTTATGAAAATCTTGTTTTTGACAGACAATATTTTCCAAAAAAAAAAAATGATGTGTCTACACTATAGAAAGCAAATTTTAAAAAACACTATGGCAATTATACAGGTCCCATTTATGCTACTTAAACTTGAGGAGTTGCTAAAATATCATGAAAAAAATAGTTCAATTCGTTTTAAAATATCGAAAAAAATGGAGAATATGCAATTGCACTTTGTACGCCAATAATGCGAAGAACACTTGAATTGCCTCAGTGTTCTAAAATAATGTTTGTTGATGCAACAGGCAATTGCGACAACCAAAACCACAAAGTCTATTTTTTTTATAACGCAGTCTGCGGCTGGAGGTTTGCCCATAGGTTGTATTATCAGCAGTAGCCAAAAATCAGATGTATTTGAATTGGGCGTTGAAGGCCTTTTTGAAATCCTTCTCATTAAAATAAATCCTAAAGTCATTCTTACCGATGATGATCTAGCGGAAAGAAATGTATTACGTAAATATTGACCGTCCTCAAATTTGTTATTATGTACATTCCATGTCCTAAAAGCATGTTGTCGTTGGCTAATGATGGCAAAAAATTCTGTACCAAAAGAAAAAACACAGCAATTTTATGTCATGTTCAAAAATATTTTATATTCTAAAACTAGCACAGACCTCGAAAATTCAAAGCAAGACTTTTTTGACAATTGTAAACATGAAAACTTTAAAACATATGTTGAGAACATGCTAACAAGAATAGAGGTGTGGGCAGTTTTCTATCGACAAGACCTTCCATTGAGAGGTACAGATACAAATAACTATACAGAAGTCATGTTCCGCTTATTGAAAGATATTCTACTGGAGCGCACAAAAGCTTTCAACGTAACGCAATTAGCAGATTTTGTTGTTACATGCTTTGAATCATATTATAAACAACGAATTCTAGATTTAATCTTTGGTCGAGAATCAAAAGTTGTTACCTCTCGGTACCTAAAAAACTATAACACGAATTGTAAAATTATGTCAGCAAATATGGAGCAGATGGAGTTTACCGTCCAAAGTAAAACAAATAATCAACTAATTTACAGGGTTGATATGTTATGTTGCAAATGTACGTGTTCTGTAGGATTTAACGGCAAATATTGCAAGCATCAAGCATTAGTGGTTAGGAACTACAATATTTTATCGGTTATAAACAACCTGTCGACAAACGCTAAATTAAAGTTGTACGCAATTGCAACTGGCAATAATGCACCCAAAAGAATATTTCTTCCACTACAAAATAGAGAACGAACAGAACCTACTTTGGAGTGTGCGTTAGCATCATCATCTATTACGCCACACAAAAATGAAATATCTTCTCATCTAGAAATGGAATAATGCATCTTAATAATGAAACGTGCTTACCTTCAGAAAGTGAAATTGCAGAATTAAAAGATAAATGGATATCGTATTCTAATGATATAGTTAGTAAACTTGAACAAGATCCTCAACAATTTTATCCTGCTATACAGACCTATTTAAATAATGTAGATAAATATGCACACACCACTACTGCATTACTCAGTGGAATGCATACTGCATTCAAATATAAAGGCATTTCTTCAAAAAATAGGACTTCTGCCATAGCAACTCGCCGCAAAGGAAATAAAAATCCTATTCAACCAACGTCAGTAGCAAGAAGAAAAATGGGAGGAAAAAATACCTTTTCTGAAAGAAAATCTTTTAGACACAGTGGGAAGAAAAACGCAGCACATTCGTTAACAATTTGTGTAGAAAAAAACGTAAACCTAGGGCTTGGTGGTAATAAATTCCGAAAATAAGGTTTTTCTGGTTTTTTATTAATTTGTTGTGAGTAGTAATATTAATAAATTAGCCATTAAGTTTTTTAAGATCTCACTACGGTCATAAATAATTTACTAAGAGATGTAAATAAATTAGTAAATTTTACTAAGCATCCTTGTGTCTTTCTTATTCGCAGATCACAAAACGTATTCTTTTTAATCGGTTAGGTATCTGAAGGCATAATTTTTGATTTAATCGTTGTGTATGTAACAGACGCGTTACTAGTTTTAGTTGGAATACGTCTGCTACATACGAATTACTCTTCGGCAATTTCCGAATGTTAATAGATTGTATTCTGCGCCCGTTACATACAAATATGCTTGCGGGCTTGTTGACATAAACCTGCTACTTCAAATAACCCCAGTCAAAAGTACAAAAGGTTCAAAGGTACCATTCGAGAGAGCATAGCGGCCAAATTACGTCGTCAAACCGGGAGTGGATCAGGAAAAGACTGGTTTCACGAGTGATATGCCAAGTATCACCATCCTGCTAAAACCATATTAGCCAAACTGACTGTAAGTCAAATCTTGCATCTTGCGCTATTATTGAAACACCGATTATAAACAAACTATGGAGTGTAGAGGCAAGGACAAATAGTCTTTATAGAAGAAATATCTCTGTTTAACAGAAAATGTATCTCAAAATGTATGAAATTAAGATAGCATTATTTTACCAGAAGAACACAAAAAGTTTTGACAATTAATAATTCAGATCACACAATTACACTAGATTACTTACCCATATGTAAATAGTACACTTCAAAGAAAACGTTTTTTAATGTTTAACTGTTTTCAAATATCTTAAAGTTGTAGTTATTTTAGTTATTAATATAGTACCTGTTTTTCTTAAATATTTTATGCCAAATGTTGCTCTGATGATAATGACTCAATTCCGCACGGTTGCAATAGAACCATTTGTAGAACTTAATACGCTCCCACTGCTTCAAGCGAACATGGACTCCATCTCATTGAGATATTTCTTCCATAAACCAAAGTTATAACAGAACAAAAAATAGACCCAGAAGTGGCAGATACGATTCATATCTACACTGACAAAACAAGACTCAGAATGTGGAATATACTTTATCCTTACACCTAAACAAAAATGGGCTGTGAGCAATGGTGCTAGTGTAGTTTAAACCAAGATCACAAGAATTCTCATAGCAGCAAAATAAATTACCAAAAACAATAGGTAACATTTTAAAAGTCCAATTAAAAATGTTATTTTAAATATGTGCCAACCTGTATAATTAATTTTCGATTAAATTAAATTTAATTATCGCCGCACACAATATTCCAAAGAAAGGGAAAGTTCTTGAAGTGGGAGTACAGTTAACCAAACGATTTCGCATTAGATTTTTAAATTTCATTTACTATTGCTTTCTCTTCATATCTGGTGGTGTTTTGGCTGTAAAAGTGGTAATCATAAAAATCTGATGTGTCCAATACATGACTTTCCTATCTAGTTATTATAGGCTTTTTCCGGTTATTTTGTACAACCTATTGCAGCACCTCTATAAATGTTTAAAGAATAAACTAAATATATACATTTTCCACATATATTTAACTCGAAACATTTTTCTCTAGATAACGAAAATACTGAAAAATTTAAATTTAGCACTTTTAATTCAATTTTTCCAATACGGTCCATTTTAGAAAAATCATATAAAAAACAAAAATTATAGAGATCGATATAATAAATAACTTTTATTTAAACAATTTTCCTAAAAATTTGAATTTTATTACATTTTGTCAAATTTCTCGAATACGGACCATTTAAAAAAAAATTGTATAAAACCAAAATTATAGATAATAATATTGTAAGTAATTTTTTTCTGAACAATTTTCTTCTCCAAACATAAATAACAGATATATTCCATAAAATATAAAAATGACCACCTATAAAGTACCCCCCCAGATGTTCCGACTCTGCCCAAAATCTAATCAGCTCATTGGACGCTGAAACAAAGCTTAAGTTTAAAATTTAACACACGCACACGCACACACAACACACACAACTCACACAACTCACACAACACACACAACACACACAACACACAACACACACAACACACACATACACACACATACACACACATACACACACACACACACACATACACACACACACATACACACACACATACACACACACATACACACACACATACACACACATACACACACACACACACACACACACACACACACACACACACACACACACACACACACACACACACACACATACACACACACACACACACACACACACACACACACACACACACACACAACTCACACAACACACACAACACACACAACACACAACACACACAACACACACATACACACACATACACACACATACACACACATACACACACACACACACATACACACACATACACACACACATACACACACACACACACACACACACACACACACACACACACACACACACACACACTCACACACACACACACACACACACACACACACACACACACACACACACACACACACACACACACACACACACACACACACACACACACACACACACACACACACATACACACACACACACACACACACACACACACACACACACACACACACAAACACACACACACACACACACACACATCATCGCGAAAATAGTCAAAACGGATTTAGGGGACCTCGAAACGTAAAAATCCGTCGAAAACTCGAGGTCGAAAAAAATCATGATTCCTATACTTTCCTTATATCTGTATACAGATAGGAAAGTAAAAAAGTATAATGTCGTTATAAAATATCTCGGTAGAAATAATATTCAAACCTTTTGTTAGTTATTATTTTTTTTTATAGTAAAGTTAAATTTTTCTAAATATGTTTTTAAGATTCATTCTGGTTGCTAGAACGGCACAATGTTTATAGTCATTAGTTTTTATTGTATCTTGGTTCATTTTTAAAAAGTAGATGTTTTAAATTTAATTTATATCTCGTACAAGAGCCACGTGAAAAACAAAATCTATTTTTGTTTAGAAAACGAATGAATGCAGCTGTAACCTAAACACTGTAAAACTAAACGCTG